TACGCCCCCTCAAGTCAGGGACCTGGCAGTCACCTTCCTCGCCGTAAGGGAAAAAACTGAGGCAAAGTTAATGTTAAGTGGAGAGTTTATTTGGACCAAGTTCGAGGACTGCAGCCCTGCGGCCGGGACGCAGGTTGCCCTGAATAAACGCCCCCATTTGCAGCAATGGGTTTGTTGTCGTTTGGAGAGAGATAACGCCCTGTCCGCAGGCTGGAGTGAGGGAGTGCGTCACTGCAGCCTCCATCTCCAGAGCTCAAGAGATCCTCCCGCCTCAGCCTCTCAAGCAGCTGAGAGAGACTACAACCCTGAGTCACTGCGCCCTGCTCCTAGCAGTGGTTGTGTGATGGAGACGGTCCCCTCCGGTGCCCAAGCTAGAGTGTCGTGGTGAAACTAGAGCCCCAAGTAGTGGGTTTTCTAAGGAAAAGGTGCAATTCCTAATTGTTCACCAAGAACTTACATTAAAATAACATGAGCTACTGATTGGACACGGTATTTTTTCAATCACGAAATTCAGGAATATGAAGATAATGAGTAAGGCGGCAAGTTAGGAAATTACAGGAAAGAACAAAACGCCTTTAAACATTGCTCCGGGCACGGGGGAGGGTATGGCTGAAGTCCCATAGCTTTATCTCTCTGGACCTGATAAATTTTGAATACCTCACTCAGCTCTGAGGGCTCTGAGCTATTTTTCTTTCATTTACCCTCTTTGATCAAAATCTTTCTCTTGTGAAAGAACTAATCACCCACACATTAGATGTAAACTTGTCCCAGTCAGAGGGAAGGCTCACTTCAGGTAATCGCATCTGTATCTTGTCTGTGCTGTGGCCTGGAGACTCAGCCAGGGCTCAAGGCCAAGTAGATGGTAACAGCTGGGCGCGCGCAGGGAGCTGCGCCGCATTTTGGAGAAGTATTTATAATGCAGCGGCGCCGGTGCAGTAGCGGCGCCCGGGGTCCCGCAGGGTCCTAGCGTCCACTGCATTGGCTGCCGAGGGTCACCATGTGATCTCGGGGGTGGGAGTAGACGCCGCCTCCGCGCCCGCCCGATGGCACACTGGGCGCTGCGCGGCTGCCGGGCGCCGGCGGCCGGCGGGGGTGCGGCCGGCGGGGGTGGCGCGGACAACCCTGGACACGACGGAGCGGGAGAGACACGCGAGATGGCCGGGGACAGGCGCGCGCGCGCGCAGGGGTGGGTGGTGGCGATCTGGGCTCGGTGTCCAGGCCCGGAGGGGCGTCCAGCCGGTCTCCGAACAGGGCCAGTACCGGGAGCGGGTGATGGGCGCGCGCCGCGGCTCCGCGCGAGCCTGGAGCGCCCCGACCGGGCCGACCGCAGGAAGCCAGTCAAGGAAGCATCACCTCTCTCCCGCCCCTTTGTCTGAATACGGCTCCCGGCGGAGGCCTTGGGCAGGGGGCGCCCCGCGAACCAGCGTCCGGGACCGCACCGGATGGAGGAGAGGAGACGTGATCAGAGCGGGACGTGGTGCCTACGCGCCAGCAGCCTCGCGCGTCCGGGAACGGCGCAGCAGTCCCCCGCCCGACCCTCGCAGCCGGCACAGGGCTCAGGGCCCGCCGGACCCTCCCGGCCCGGCCCCCGCCCTCCGCGGCCCGCGCATGCGCCCCGTGGCCTCGGTGCAGGTGCACTAGGGGGTCGCGGACCGCGTCTTCCCAGTCCTCGCAAGCTGGACCTGCAGACACTGCTGGGCGGGTGCCGAGGAGTTCAGGTGAGGGACAGGTGGTCGCAGACCCCATTCTAGGCACTAAGCGAACCCAGCCTCTCGCAGCGCTCCGCCTCCTTCCCCTAGTCACCCCGCTGGGCAACCAAATCTCTACACCTGCGCGGGCCGCGCTGCGCAGTGGAGTGGGGCTGGCGGGGAGACTAAGGTCACCCAGAGGCCAGGAGGGGCCGGGCTTGCCCATGGGACTTGAGAGCCGGCGTGCAGCACCACGCTAAGGGAGCGAAGCAGATGGAGCGGGGAGGGACGCCGAACTGGTCCACAGGA